GTAGTCTAAAAAAGCCACATCTTTTCTCCAGGAAACATATGTGGACTATGAAAAAGATAGTGATTTTTTATACAGTCCTTAAAAGAGGTTGCTATTATTTTTAAAAAGCTCAAGCAACATATTTATCAAAGGGTTAAGAGAAAAGGTTGTGATAGATAAGGGCTCACTTTTGTGTTCTACAAGCTAGGTGTCCCAGCACAGAAAATCAACCTTATTCAGTAACAAGCAAATCTGTTGCTTTTACTAACTCTCTTTACTCATACCTAACGACAGAATATCTCTTGCTGTTCTCCTATTCAGTATTAACTCAGATAACTAATCACTGAACTCTAGAAAGACTACAAAGTCAACTGAAACATAATAGTTTTAACAAAGGAAAAGAGTAACAATTGTTTCTGTACTCAACAAGCTACAATATTTTGATCCATATGATAGAAGTGGAAAAAAATGCAAGATAAATAATATTCCATTTCTTGATTTGTCATTCACCTAGTCAAGGCTTCCTAAGCATAACAATTCTACAATTACTTATCAACCTGCTAGGCTTTTTAGCTAGTCTTTCATCCTATCTACAGGTAATGTAAGTTAAGACCTTACAACTATTAAGGGCTTTTTAAAAACAAAATAAGATGTAGAGATACTACTTTTGTGAGGCATTTTAAGAGGCTCTTGAAATAACAGAAGCCAGTACTACAAAATTAATCAAACCCATGACCCAATTATTAGTGGCCTACGTGGTGAACCTGGGCTTGTGAATTCTGTCAGTGTGACTTATTTTTCCCTGAAAGTGAAAGGAAATGGCTTTTGAGGGAACAGTCTTTTTATACCTTTTTAGAAAGGATGGAGAGGGGAACAAATGCAGGGTAGCATCCTAAAACTGGGATTCCTTGGAGAATGGCTAAGATTGGGCTGCTTTGATATGGCAATTTCATAGACTTGATTTGTTTTTGAGAGAAGACTACTCTTAACATTTTAAAACAAAGTAATTTGCAGGGAGCTATGCCTCTAATACCTCTTAACAATTAAAGAAAGTAAGTATGGGCCTAGGATACAGAGCTCTGACTGCAATCCAGAACGCTGGCAAACATTTTGCCAGCTGCCCAAGAAGCCACAGGGCAGTCAGCAAACACAGAGGCCACACTGGTTATACAAACCATTCATCTTAGAAGGGAAGAGAAGGTATAAGAAAAAATAACCTGAGGAATGAAAGTGTAAGATGGTAATAATTACTGTAAATATGGAGTTGAAAACTACAAATACTTGGAATGAGAGTTGTTTAGCAGAGTTAAAAATGGCTAAGTGCTGACTAATGTTTTCAGAGAATGAAAAAACCTCCAATCATATTGATCAATTTGTTGATTCACTTATTAGATAAAAAATAATATCTGTTATGCAAAAGTTAATTTTGTCAAAATACACAATAAAAAAAGACTGAATTCTTTACATTCTAATAACAATACCAGAAAATACTGCAAAGATAAATTTTAAAGTAGCTATATCCAGATACTTTGCACACAACACTTTTCAAAGTGCTGCCTGACAAGCTCTGTACACCATTAACATTGTTTTTCAGTAACTCTTAAAACACTTTTCAGTTCCAGAACAGTGGCAGAGCAAATGTGGTTCAGGTTTTAAAGAGGGCAATTATAGACCTGTCAGCTGGATTTCAATCATACTCAAAATAATGGAACACATGCTACAGGACTATAATTAAGTATTAAAGGAGCATAACGTTATTAATGCCAATCACCTGGATTTTTGAAAAATATATCCCATCAAAGTAACTTCATTTCTTACTTAAAATAAGGTTACAAAATAGGTTAACAGAGCTGGTAGATAACACTCTCAATATAAAATTTGTAGATTTCTACACTGTATGTGACTTTGATAACACACAATATGTGATTATGAAATTGTGAAAAAATAAGTTTACACCGCACATCAAATAGATTAGTGTACTTGTTACATCTCAAACATGCTGTTAGAGGAAATGATGAGTAGGTACTTGTGTTTTCTAGTGGAGAGTCTAGCAGGGTTCTTCCTTGCTTATATACATTACAATTCTGTTCATTCTCTCTGGGAAACAAAGTAATTTCTAATAGACTTAAAAATTAAACAAAGATTGAGGATTATTTAGATAATAAGAAAGAGAGAAGCTACAGATGCGATCTGAATTTGGTTTTTAAGGCGGGCAAAATCAAACCTGGTATTTATGATGTGACCAAAGCTAAAGTTACTCATCTACAACCAAGGAAGGTGGTCTCTGCTTACACGGTGGCAGCACCAGCTTCAGAAATTTTGAGGCAAAATAATAATCCTTGAAAACATAAATGTGTCAATAATGCGAAAGAGAAGGCTATGCTACTAGCCTTTTCTCATTTAAAAATAATTAGTAGAGAACAATACAAATATAACAGGAAAATTGAAAAACAATAACAGAAGTGTATTGCCTTCAATCAAAACCCTACAGAACAGCCTAGTTTACAAAGACGAGACTAAGGGAGGCCTACTACTCAGGTAAGAACTTACACAGAAAAGAAACTTCCGTGATGGTTTTTTCAGTCCTGGAAACAGGCAGGTGATAATAGAATAATTGAGAACAGAAAAATCCACTTTTTAAAAGATTTAAAACCAGGCAGATGTTAAGAGTCCCATGTGACAAAAGATTCAGCATCACTGACAGCCTTCTAAATCAAGACTCCTGACTTTTTGTTAATAATCATATGCTAGTGCAAAAAAGAATTAAATAAAGTCTTAGAATCTTCATTATATACAGGTGAAACATGAAGGACTCCTTTTTAACCTTTTCATCCATATCCATATGACACTTTTTCAGTGTTTTGAAATGTCTAGACTGAATTTTAGTTTAGTTCAATTTGCTTCATTGAATATATGCTTTATCAATTCAGCACGCTATAATGTATTGCCTAAAAAGAATCCCCTAGGATTTAGAACATTCCTGTAAAAATAACTGTATAATACAAGGGTGAAAACACACTCTAAAATGACATATTTCCATGAAGAAGATATTTCATTAGAAATAAAACCCCTGTCATCAGTAATCTTTACCATTCAAGCATTTTTCTCAATATGCAGCTTGTTAAAATGATGCAAGCTATTAAACACATTTGAACTACTTTGTAAACACAAATCAAGCTAATAGGTATCCATCTGATACTCATTAAGCCTTCTCAAGAAAATCTTAAAACAGGCAATTTTTCATTAGACCAGTAAACTCATGCAAAGGTGCAAATCACAAGCTATACACTAAGGATGCAATATGGGGGAGAATAAGGGAAAGAAATATTCTTGCTCAGTGCTCATTAAAATTTGTTGGAATTATTAAGCCAGAGAAGTAAACAGAATATAATTCTAAAATATTGTCTTTCTAGTAAGTAGAATATAGAAGAATTCTTAAATGGCAAAAGTTTCCAATATAGAGAAAAGTATCAATTATTATTTTAAGTTACGTATTTTACTATATACTTTTTCCTCTGTAGAAGGCCTAGAAGCATGTAATTTGGCACCACTTGTAGAGAAAGGGAAATACTCTGGGGTTTTTTTTTTATTAGGCAGATTATAATAATCTCAGATGTTCTCTTCCACAGAGTAAATCACTGCTGTTTCACTTGGTGTCTGTTGTGGCTTTTGAAGATAAGACAGGAAGATTCCAACTACCTTTTCTACTCTATTTTTAAGGCAAGAAATACAGATGTGTCTTCTATTTTCATCACCTTGGCTACAACAGAAATGTTTTGCCATCATCATCACAAAATGCCAACAAATAGAAGTTTAAGCTGCATTTTCAAGCACAAGTAGAGAAGAACTTGACATACTGCAGTAATGTGACAAGTCAACGTCAAGGAAAGGCTCCAAAACATGAAGTCTGAAACAAAGTACTAACTCCAGCCACTGTTGTCCCTTTGCACTGTTCTCCCACCATCATAACTTCCATTAAGAAAGGTCTGTAAAAGATACAAGTACAACCTGGACGCTGCACTTGGCATTTTTTGATGGCAAAAAGAAAAAAGGGGAAAAAAAGGAAACAACAACAAAAAAACATCAAACCTGGAAAAAGGAAAGGGATTTGCTCATTTTTGTCCTCTGACGAACAATATGGGCCTGTCAAGTTCAAATAAGACAACCTGAGGTAAATTGTGTGAGTCATGTTCTGGTTAAGAAACTGGCAGACCAGGTCAGTCAATTCAGCTGTCTGTTCAGGCACCTCACTGTGCCATGTAGACAAACAGTAAGAAGATGAGTGTCGGTGACCCGTCCTATAATGTGTTTAGTTTAGGAGTTCCAAGAAAAAAAAAGATTTAACCTTGGTTTCATCTGCTTATTGTCTATTGTGGTTTTTTTCGGGGGAAATGTTTTCCTTTTAATTCAGTTTACTGCTGTGCAATGAAAGCCTGTGAATTTGGCTTAGGAGAATATATTTTACAGAAAGGGAAATATTCTGCTAATGTTATTTTTTAGGAAGTTTCTCCCTTTTAGCATCTGCTGGCAGCAGCATTGCCCAGTGTCAGGAAAGGTTTTTGTCACAGCTAATCCATTTGCACAGTAACTGCTTTTGGAGAATACAAATCTGTGATTTTGTATACCTAGCTTCTATTACAGACATCCTGACAAATGAAATAAAGAAATACTCCCCTCTACCTATCTTTTTTTTCCCCACTTCTGCAATGGAATCTTCTTCTGTTTCTGTTTTTACTTCTACATTCCCAGAGTCTCACATTGCTGATTGAATAGCAAGTGAAACACTCTCTGCTGTGTTTCATAGGTACTATCAATTACTGATCTGCTTCGCCTTGTGCATGCATACGTTAAGAACCATTAGCTGCATTTTATCAGCTTGTGCTTTTTCTATTGGGTAAATATTTCTTTACCTTTTATATTATTCACTGCGTTGTATTATGCTACTTCATTCTGTGCAACTGTCAGAGGGAAGTTTAGCAGAGGACTCAGATCACTGACCGTGTAAATCATAGAATCATAGAATGGTTTGGGTGGGAAGGGACCCTAAAGATCATCTAGTTCCAAGACCCCTGCATGGGCAGGGACACTTCCCACTAGACCACATTAGGTCAGCTTATGGGGAAATATACAATTCCTATTAAAACTCAGGCTGTGACACCATGTCATTGAGGGAACAGATTTGTTTCTATTGAACACATCTGCCAAGAAATAACATGTAACACTGACTGATTTGCAATTATGACAGAATTACATCATCTTCAACTGAAAAAAATACTGCCAGGACATTCAGTGCTGCATTTGTATGTAGCTATAAGAAGATACTTGGGAATCGGATGAGAAATTCATGCTTATATTTTGTTTTCCCATTTTGAGTCATGAATCTAAAAATTTGAATTTACCATTTTATGTGGTTGGCTTCAATGTTACTCAATATAGCAAACGATAGGTATATTTAGTTTATCCTCATAATAACTAATGGCTTTTGAAGTAGAGGAAATGTTATTTCTGTACATCCATCCATCACATTTTGACATGTAAATGGATCACTTGAAAATTCATGTCTATACTTCTGATTTGCTGTTCTGTAAATATTTTAACATTTATTATTCTGCTGAACTGGACATCCTTCTGTAATTGTTCTAGTAATTGTGTTCCTTTGCATATGGAGCTCAAAGCAAATTGATAAAAAATCCTAATATTTGCTTCGTATGTTTATCCAAGCTGAAATACAATGGGGAAGAGATGACTTTGTCATTTTACTGTACTCTATTCTCACTTACTGACAGACCACCAATTTGAACCTATAGTTAATGTACTGTGTTCACATGACTAGGAGTCACACTTGAAATGCAGTTCCATTCCTCCTTTACACTTATTTCAGAGTTCTAAAATACATGGACCTGCCAATAGCTTAACCTTTAGGACTGCTGTCTCCCTGCATGGACCAGCACTCACTCCACAAGTGTTCACTCCAGGACAAGACAGGTCCAGAACAGGCAAGAACAAGTTCCAGCATGAAGACACAGCACATCTCCAACACACCTTGAGTCCTGGCTGTATCCAGCCAGCCTAGTGTGCAGGTAGTGCAAATACAAGTCTTTGTTCTCTAAGGAGGAGATATGGAGTGCAAGTGCAACCTTCAGTCACAGTGTTATGTTTGTAATAACTTTTGCTTTTGCAGGTGATTGTGGAATAATGGCTGGGGGTGACTTAGAAATTTGCTGGGGGTGACTTTGGGTAAGATTTGAATACACAGCTATCACAAGTGCATCTCCAGGAAACCCAGAAACCTCTAGAGAGTTGCTTTATTACTCATGTGTGTGTAACTTGGCCATATTAATCAATTTGCACGTGCTTTGCAGACAGTGAATCTATCACTGGCAATCTAAAAGAATTTCTGCATCTGTTGCTTTAATAAATTACACTGTTCAATCTGGCTGTGAGTGTTTTTGAACATGACCAAATTCCTGAGTGTGGCCGTGAGAGTTCATGAACACCACTGGATGGACAGTGCAGCATTTGTGCATCTGTAATTGTGAGAGTCCAACAGACTCAACCAGGCTATTAACACCAAATTGGGCATCAATCAGAATCTAAGCCCAGCCGCCCCCAGCTCCTCTAATACGTGAGGATAAACTGGAAAGCAAAGGGGTTTATCTTCTGCCAAATTCCTTTGCCTCTTAATGCAACAGTGATTTTGTGCATGTTGTTACACATAATGAACAACGTGCTGCAGTGTGAATGTGCGATTCAGCTGCCTCTGCAGCTGCTTTTTTGGAATTCCTCAAATGTGGTATCTATATATGTTGCTCTGTGGTGGTAATATCTGAAGATATTCTCTAAAGCATAGTAGTTTAACTCCTGTTAATAGAGTGCCTTCAGAGGTATGTTTGTATTCTTGCCTTTGGGACAGTGAAGACAATAGCCCTTTAGCACCTATAGTACTGCTGTGTATTCTTTTATGTTCTGTTGCTGCACACGTGTAGCCCAATACCTATAGTGCATCAGACTGAATTTGTTTATAGCAGGAACAATGTTTTTCCTCCAAATATGGGTGCTATGTAAGTACACTCTGGACAACAGCTTTGGATTCATGGCTCCTGTCACACTTTCTCCATTCAAGAATATTCTTCTCTTTCTCACTATATTTTCATGTGTTTGCTGAAGGACTCCCCTTGCCCACTGTTACCCGAATTCAATGTGATCAGCACAGAACCGTGACCTATGCTAGCAAACTCACAACTTCACTCCCTAAGTCGGTATAGGCAGAACTCTTGCGCCCTCTGCACAGACACACGTACACAGCCTTCTGAGACCTAGTCACTCTAGAAGCCAAGCTGTTTCTGCAAGTAATTTCACACACACACAAAATCAAACAAGTTCCAAAAACTAACAACATTTGTGAAAACGCAGGTTGTATTATGTATAGATAATTAATGGCAGTCTAAAAAAAAATACACAGGCGAGATTTATTTTTTTTTTTTACAAACAGCCAAGGTGAACGCCCTGTGGAAGTTCCCCCGAGATCTCTGCACTTCAGGAGCAGCACTCCGGGCCCGACGGAGGAGACTCTGCAGGCACGGCTCACACCCAGCCAAGCAGCCGGTTCCCCTGCCACGCTGGGGCGGGAGCGGAGCCGACACGGAAGGCGCGGGCAGCAGCCGCACACCCCCGGGGCAGGCCCGGC